TTGGGCTCTGAAATAAGCACTGGGACTTATTTTCGGGGGTGGTCATGTTCTTATTTTTTTTGAGCTGCCCCACATGCCTCGCACTCATGCCCACCCCCAGCCAGGTCATCCATGCCCTGACAGATGCCTCACACCATGGTGGCGGCTCCAGCAACCCTGTCCCGCAAGATCCCACATGGCCACTGGCCCACTTCTTCCAACACCAGTGTGACACTGGAGCAGGAGGCCAACCGATGTGCCAGTGCCATGATCACGAGACAAGGTATGGGAGAGCTGCCCTATGTGCCCCGCACTGGCTTACCTCAGGGCCCTTGAAGCCCTGCCATCCATGCCCTGACACCTGCCTTGCATTCTGACCAGGACACTAACATATCACTCAGCTTCCTATCTGGTGCCATGCCATTGATGGAAGAAGTGGCCACGTGAGGTCTTGCTGGATGGGGCTGTTGGAGCCATTGCTGTGTGGCAAGGCAGTTGTTGGGGCGTGGAAGGCCTGGCTGTGGGGCCCTGAGGTAAGCTAGTGTGCACATGGGGCAACTCCACTCTCCCACCTCACCTCATGTCAGTGGCACTGCAAGCAACCAGATGGAATAAGCAGCAGCTAGATGTGCAGACACTTATGTAGGGCTTATTTTTGGAGTTGAGCTGATATTGGGCACATGTGCAAAAACATGCTCGGTCTTATTTTCAGGATAGGTCTTCTTTTCAGGGAAACACAGTATGACCTGGGTGACAAAGAATCTCCACCAACATTCATCTGAACAACTTTCCATTTTCACTTACTTTAACTTTCTTATTTAGGCAACATCAAGTGACTGCTGAAGAGTGTGTGGATGCTAACTTAGCTATTTATATTTCAAGGCTATTTGGGCTCCCTAAGAGCTTATTTTTGTAGGTTGTACTCAAACTGGTCCAATGCATTTCAGATGTCATTTTAGCTGAATCTTTCGTGGCAGCTTTACATCTTGTTTTGATTAGTCAGTGAGGAGGTTCTCTGCACACATTTCTTATGAATGGCTTATACCAGCAATAATGTACTTCGTAAGGCAACCTCTCCTGCAGCTTTGTCTGTATTTATTAAGTGACTCAGATGAGACTGAAGAGCATAGAGAACGCACATGTCCTGGCTCCTTTCTGCCTCTTTTCTTCTAAATCTATCTGTCCCCATAAAGCAGCTTGTCTGTGTGGTTTGTACATGGCTTAAAAGGCTATCCTAGTTTTCTTCAGGCATAAAGAAACACAAACCAAAGTCCATTCCCGCTTAATCTGCTTGATGAAAAATCAAATGTTTACCACTGACTCAGAAGGCAACTATAGAATGCTATACTTGACTGAAGTCCCAATCTGTTCTTTTGCTGAGGGGACCCTTGAGATTTCTAATGGGACATGGAACACTTCCCTTTTGGTGCACTGACTGAATGCAAAGCAGTTTAGCTGAGAGTGAAAGTAATTATGACCAGTTTATAGCTGTGTGGTGGCCTAAATTAAATGAGTTTGAAACTACAGTCATGTGGAAACCATGTGCCTCTGACATATAGATTTTATTTATTTATTTATTTATTTATTTATTTATTTATTTATTTATATTTTTGTCAATTGCTTACAAGATAATAGGTATAAGTAAAACCATAGTAATGAATACATGGATACATATAAGAAAAATAAAAAAAGAAACAATAGGACAGGGACGGTAGGCACGTTGGTGCACTTATGCACTCCCCCTACAGACCTCTTAGGAAAGGGGTGAAGTCAATAGTAGTCAGTCTAAGGTTAAAGTTTTTGGGGTTTGGGAAGAAACCACAGAGTCAGGTAGAGTATTCCAGACATTGACCACTCTGTTGTTGAAGTCGTATTTCCTGCAATCAAGTTTGGTGCGATTAACCTTGAGTTTGTATCTATTGTTTGCTCTTGTGTTGTTATGGTTGAAGTTGAAGTATTCATTGACAGGTAGGATATTGCAATGTATGATTTTATATACTATACTTAGATTGGACCGAAGGTGGTGTAGTTCTAGGTTTTCTAGGTCCAGAATTTCAAGTCTGGTGGCATAAGGTATTCTGCAACGAGTAGAGGAGTGGAGAACTCTTCTTGTGAAATATTTCTGGACTTTCTCAACTGTGTTAATATCATATACGTAATGTGGGTTCCAGACTGATGAGCTGTATTCGAGTATTGGTCTAGCAAATGTTTTGTATGCTCTAGTTAGTAGTGTAATATTACCAGAGAAAAAGCTACGTAAGATTAGATTAACAACTCTTAACGCCTTTTTGGCTATGTAGTTACAGTGGGCTCGAGCACTTAGGTCATTAGAGATGAGTACTCCAAGATCCTTGACAGAGTTTGGATCATCAACAAGGTCTTGACTATTCAGCCTGTATTTTATTTTCTGATTTTTTTGCCAATATGTAAGAAAGAGCATTTATTTGTTGAGATTTGAAGTTGCCATATGTTTGACCATTCTGATACATAGTCAAGGTCTTTTTGAAGGGTAGCAGTATTGTCTGTGTTATTGAATATCTTTACATCATCAGCGAAGAGAATGCAGTTGCTCTTGATATGATCATAGAGGTCATTTATGTAGAGTATGAAAAGAGTTGGTCCTAGAACACTGCCTTGGGGGACACCACTGTTGACAGGTACAGAATAAACAAACCTTAGAAAATGACTAGAGACAGTGGTAGGCTGCTGGATGGTTGGCGAGGTTTGGGCGAACCCCTAGCTGTGATCTCTGGCTGGGCCCGCCCACCAACTCTTGTGCTATGCCTTTCTCTAAATAACTAACTTTTCCCTGCCCAGGCTTCCCAGATGAATTCCACGCTGTTCTGCTATACTCACCGGACCTGCCTGAGTTGATTAGCTGCCTGTTTGAAGCTGTGTTTCAGACCTAAAGTGCACGCTCACAACCAGCGAACCCCTTATCAATGAAAGTGCAGCCCACCTCTGACTACAGGCCTCATGAGAAATCCAGGAAAGATCCCCAATTGCAAACATTTTTTGACAACAAACATTTATCTGACTGCTTAAAGATTTCTGATTCATGTTTATGCACATTTATAATTTGCTCTTGATTTTTGTAATATTTTTTAATATTAAACCTGTAAAATTAAAAAGATTTGGGGTACAAATTAAGTTTCTTTCAGTTTTGGGGGCCTGAAAACAAAAACATTCATCTCTAATAAAATGTAATCCATTCTCATTTTGCAATACTTCTCTACTTAGCCTATTGCTCACAAACATGAAGGCCAAATTAGGTATACTTTTCTCAGTTGGGGCCCTCAATAATACATATTACTTATGAAGCAGAATCAGTATGGAAAATATGTATTATTTTAAGTGTTAAATTTAGGGGAAAAATAAAAAGTTGTCATACTTCAATCAGTGTTTACAGGAGAAATATTGTATTAGAAAGAAAGGATAAATAGATGATGGAAAGAGAACGGACAAAAGATGCAAGTATAATTATTTAAATTGAGATGAAATAAATAAAATAGAATTAAAAGAGTGAATAGGAGAGAGAAAATATATAGAAAATATAGAATGTTAAATAAGATATGAAATAGTATATTAAGTGAGTACGAATTTGATTTATGTCTGTACAAAAAGATTTAACCCGGGGTAAGCCGCTTTCCAAAAAGAAGTTTTATGTATTTATGTTTTGTGTAATGTTTGTCTATGTTTGCAAGGATGTTGAAGAGAACTAATGAAATTATATGCAATGAATATATATAATTCAAGGCAAAAGAAATACAATTAAATAGAAGGAAAGGGAGCAATAAAGAGAAGTTGGGAAAAGATATGAAGTTGATCAGATAAGATAAATATACATATTAAATTGTGTTTGTATAGAAATGTGATAATTTGGAATTATTTTCTTTTTAAATAAGATGTTTTATTTGTTTCTTTTAGAAAAGATATTTTATGTTACTACATCCTATGTTTTGTTTGTTTGTGTATTGTTTTTAAAAAATTAAAAAAAATACATATTACTTTGTGGGTACACAGGCCTCGGGTCTCTCTTTTTTCCTGTTTAACATTTAACTGAAGATGCTGGGAGAGGTCATCTGACAGTTTAGAGTGACGTATCACCAGTATGTTGATAATTATTTAGATTTATATTTCAATTGGGTCTGTGTAATGCAACATTATTTTTCCTTCTTAAAATACATTTTTAAAAATCTTACACTTCAGAACTAATGGATGAGTATATCATCATAATCTTCTTCATCATCATCCCTTAATTGCAGATTAAATGTTACAATAAAAGTAACATTTAATCCCATATTTTAACTTATTTATCTCCAAAGAGAATCCTCCATAAAAGAAGTCTAAAATTACTTTTTTTTCACCATAGGAAAAAAGTTTACACAAACATCTCAAACCTACAAGAAAATAACTTTAGCTGCCATGACTCATCTTCCAGACAATTCCACTTGAATGACTGAGAATCTTCATAGACATACTGTCACACATTTGGGGGAAGAAACCCTGAGGTTGGTGTGGGAATATCCGTTATAATTTTAGGAGTTGACACACTCCAACAACGCTGTGCCCACTCAGATTCCCCAAATAATCTTGTTCAGTCTGAAGAAACTGCTTGGATGGGCAGCAAAATATCTCAAATCAACAAGAAAATAAGTCAACTTCCAGAGTGGTGCACCTGGATGACTGAGAATCTTCATCAGCATTTGACTCAAACAACTTAACAAAAGCTATGAACAGAATTAAGATGATGTCATGCAGATTCATTGCTAGAGATATTAAAGCATAAACTGAAATTATGAGAATAAAGAGATAGGCGCAGAAAGAACTTATTTTCCTCCTCCTTGTACTGGGATAGTTTATGTTACTAATTACTTCAAATAATTTATTAGAATACCACCACATACCATCACAATATGATGAAAACTATTCCTAGGTATGCAGCATTTTTTACAACCAGTAAAGAGGAATTGATCAAAACATACACATTATAGGTAAAAAGTAAGTGAGATCCACCTTACCAAAGTTGCAAGAATATAGTGGTATCCTATCCCGTTTTTTTCAAGCTTGATTATCTGTTATTGAAAAAATAAAACATAAAAACAATTTACTGGCAAATTAAGAAATGCCTCTTTAATAATTTTACCTTGTTTGTGGAGGAAGTAAGAAATGTTTCACTAGAATTGATGCTGCTTAAAGAATATAATAGCTGCTTAAAGAATACAGGAGTTATATTCTAACTCCTACATTCAAATACAATTTGTGATATGCATACTACCACATGATAATAACTTGCAAGAGAGATTGAAAAATAAAAATATTCTCATCCTTAAAGGAAAATGCAAACATGGGATACCTTCAAATAGGTCATAAGCATTAACATGTACTCTTTGTCTCATGAGCCAATTAATGTGATCATCAGGCAAACTTTATGAAGATGAAGATGTTGCCCAGATGCATATTCACATTTGGCAAAACTAAAGCAAACAAAATACAGAATGAATTGTTCCTTTGCTTTGCTGCAATACCCAAAGGAGAACTTGTTTATTTCATTTTGAGCCTTTTCCTACTTGTACCTAGTGACAGCCAAGCATGACAACACCATGTTTTCCTGCTGTTGGCTCTGGCTACAGCGTTATCACATCTCAATCCATGAATGAGACAGTCAAAATTTGTTCTTAGCTCTTAAGGGATTAAAAGAGTATTTTCCTCTTTATTCCAAGGTGTGTGTAATCCATGTCACTCATTTCTTTGGTCAGAAATCCGGGGACTGTGATGATTTGAAATATAGGCAACAGAGACATAATAGGAATTAGCAATAGGGACAGCAATTTCATGCCAATATAGATTTTTGTCAACTCAAGTATGGATGGAGAGCACTCCAATTCAGCAGCTGAGAAAAAGCCCTGAGAATGACCACTGCAAATTCCTGGAGCTACATGGGCTCATAGATACAAGAAATGCAAATCTTTATCCTATTATTTGAAAAAAACAAGCAAAACTAGAACTATGCACTGAAAGAAGTAACTGGATTGGATTGAAATTTAGATCACACTGAGACAAGATGCATTGAAATTGAACATATTGTGTAATATAATACCCCAGCTGATTTTAATAAATCCAATGGAAAAGAAGATATTTTATTTACAAGTATTTCTAAGCCATCATTAATGTTAAAAGTTCTCCAAAATTTGATTAAATCTGGAACTAACTCAAACTGTGAGAACTTTTGTAATGATCAGACCATCTTCTATCAACCACTCCAGCCTTTTCCAATCTGGATCCCTGTTGAAATGTAGCTTTCAAATTCCAAAAATGTCAGCCACCTTTGTCAAGAGTTCAAGGAATTAAAGTTCACATATCCAGAATGTATCCAGGTTAGGGAAGGTTGGGCTAAGCCAGCAATGAAACATTTGGGCTTGGTGAACCTTTTGGGTTCAGTGTGTAAAAAATTTGGAAAAATGCCTAATTTGAATTTGCTGGCATGCTACCCTCCTCGCTCCCTCAAAAATGTTGTTGTTGTTGTTGTTGTTGTTGTTGTTGTTGTTGTTGTTGTTG